CAGCCCAGGGCAGTTGTCCCCATGGTGGCTTCCCTTGGGTTCCTCASTGCCCGCAGTGCTGCTCCCACCCGRGCTGCTGGCTGGACACATCCCYCTGACTCTCTCTTACCTCTGGCAGCCCGAGTGCCCACGTTGTCGTCCTCGGGGAATATAGCCTGGCTTCCAATGCCGAGCCYGTTCAAGTGAAGACCGTGGCCAGGGTGAGCCAGGCGGACGCGGTCCTGGGTTGGGGTCCTGRGTTGGGGCTGCAGCTCCGMGCTGCGGCTGCTCCCGCAGGGCAGGGATGAAGCGCTGCGGTGTTCCTCTCTCTGCAGGCCATCACCAACCCCGGCTGGAACCCCAACACCATGAACAACGACATCACCCTGCTGAGGCTGTCCACTCCCGCCCAGCTGGGATCCAGGGTGTCCCCCATCTGCCTGGCCCCCGCCAACCTGGTTCTGCCCACCAACGCTCAGGCTGTCACCACCGGCTGGGGACGCACCAACCCCAACTGTACGTCAGCTGTGGCTTCAGGGAGGGCTGGGTGTGGCTGCTGTTCTTCCTGGGGGCACCAAGGGTCCAGGGGTGTGACACGTCCTGTTTGTGGATGAGGGGGGAGGTGGGCAATGAAGTAATCCCGAGTGTGTACCAGGGCACACATGGGTGTARGTGTGAGCTCAGGGGGTGTGTGTGTGTAAACCAGGGATGACTGTGCCCTTCCTTGGGGCCGCCTGTGTTAGGTGATCCCGGGGAAGAAGGGGTTTGTAGGCACCGAGGGGGAAGGTGCTTTGCATGGCAGCACCCACAGTTCAGGAACGCCAGCGTCTCCTGTGCACTCTCCAGGAGACCCACTCACACTGAGGTGACCTAATGGTGCTTCTTTCCCCTAGCCCAAGCCTTGGCAACTGTCCTGCAGCAGGTGACYGTGCCCCTGATCTCCCAGAGCCAGTGCATGCAGTACTGGGGYAACCGCATCACCAGCGCCATGCTTTGCGCCGGTGGAGTCGGTGCCAGCTCCTGCCAGGTAAGGAACTGAACTCCTGCTGCACAGTGCGGGTAGAGGAGGAGGAGGAGGAAATGTGGGGTCTTGCACTTACAGAGCCAGATATTCAAGCTGTGTGCAGGGGACCTGGTGTCTGGGGTAGCTGGGACCAGTGTGCAGCATGTGCCAGGAGCACTGAGCAAGGTGTTCTCTGCAGGGTGACTCCGGTGGACCTCTGGTGTACCAGACTGGGAATGGCTGGACCCTGATTGGCATTGTGTCCTGGGGAACCTCCAACTGCAACACCCGCACGCCGGCCATGTACACTCGTGTCAGCCAGTTCCGTAACTGGATCGACGCCGTCGTCGCTCAGGGCTAAAGCTGCTGCCAGCATGATCCCTTACTGGGATTAATAAAGTATCAGCATCTGCTTGTGYCAAATGCTGCCTCTGTCTGACTCCTTTCTTTTCATGATGCAGAGCGGGGTGGAAGGCACATGGAGGAGCCTGGGGCACCCTGTGCTTCTCTCCTGAGCCCCAGTACTTCCAGAGCTGGAGCCTGGTGCCCAGCTGGGACCTAGAGGGAAGTGTGAAAATAGGACAGGATGCTCAGGCAGAGGGGGAGCAGGGCTGGCATGGCTGCTGGGTTAGAGAAACCAGCAAACCTTTTGATGGGCCCTTGGGTACCTCTTGCTGTGACCCAAGAATGTAACAGAGGAGTGAGCAGCTCCTGGCTTTCCMTGCACTTACTGASCATCATTCCCATCCCTGGAAATCAYTGCCTTCCAAMAGCCAGCCTGYGGGTGATYCATGAGGCAGAAGTAAGGACAGCAGAGCCATGGGGTACACAGAGTACATGGACATGTTTTAGCAGACCGAGTACACCAAATAAATAAWTCTGTACACTCTTAACTTGAACATTACAGACTAATTACAATGGGTCCGACCTCATCCGACAGATCAGTCCTTAGAGTAAAGCCAGGACTCAAAAGGTAAGGCAGGGAATGGGACACTTCCCAAGACAGTCCCGTGAGACCGACTGGATAAGACCAGAGTTGCTTCCAAACCATTCCAACCCAGCACCGGAAACTGGGCATCCAAAAATAACATCAAGTGCCGGAAGATCTCCGATCCCAAGGGCTTCCCGGGAGGTGTCTTTCCGCAGTGAAAGGCAACAGGAAAACTCACGGCATCTGGGCGTCCACGTGGGAGCTGCTGGTTTGTGACACACCTCGCTGGGGCCCTGGATCTGCTCCACGAGTGATTCCACATTCAGCAGACAAACAGTGCAACRATCTCTGCAACAGCAGCCAGAGCTYGCCCGTCACACACGAGGGATCTACAGTATCACCAGGCAGCAGGGACAGTGGAGAAGGGACAATTGTCACCAGGGAGAGCTCGCTCTGCCCTCGGCACAATGAGGGCGAAAGGCACCGAGCTCCATGATGCTRTTGCCACCGCACATCCCTGGTGTTCACATTTATTTCTTTGGGGAGTTTCCTGCACAGTAAGGCACAGCTGGCATGCAGGCACCTGCCTCGGAGCACTGCACTCTTAAATSCAGGGTGAAAGAGAAGATTGAGTGGTCAAAAAAAGCACCAAATCCTCCCAAGAGTGGTAAAGGGAACTTGGGGGTGGGTACACATACCGAGTGGTACAGGCACTTTGTGACATTTTCCAGGAGAAAGATGCGTCGGTGAGAGACCTGGGCACAACCACAGTCCCCACAAATTCTAGGGCTCACACTGGTGCCAAAGAAGCCAATGTCTGTGTCGCTTTGCATCATTTAGAAAACCAAATTAGGTCAAACAATTGAGATTTTAATTTACCCCACGTCAGACCCYCCAAAACTTTAATATCATTACTTAAAATGACACGGCCCCACAGGGCCTGATCAGAACTCTGTAACAGCCACACAGTAGCTGCCCTTCGTGGTACAAGACTGAGCTGAGCCTGCACTGCAGGACCTCAAAGGCACCATATGGAAGTTTTTACCTTGCCCCAGGACTCACCACAGCTCCTGCAGAGCCAAGCCCAGAGGTGCTGCCCAGAAGCCAAGTGAACCATCATTCCTATTCCAGTTCGTGCGTTAGATAAGAGTGGAGTCTCTTAGTACTGCAGCCAAACACCCAGGTAGAGAGCAGGACTGAGAAATGGAGCAAAGCCTAAGAAATTGTATAAATTACCAGAACAGAAAATATCTGACCTAAAAGAGGAAAGTACCCAGATTCCAAAGAAGAGTGTGAGGGTTGATCACGTCCAGAACATACACATAAAGCAGCCCTTCACTGCAGTTGGTTTCCACATCACTACCAAAGCCAGCAGGTCTAAGCCCGTTTATTTGGGCTTAAGCTCCTCACAAGGCTCTGGAGCTTTCCTTCACGTACAGCTGCGTGCTTCCAAGAACAACACAGACCAGGAACTGGCAGGAGCATCTGCAATTCAACACAATTGCAGTGTTAAATAGCACTGACTTCTTCAGCATCGAAGGAAGGGTGATTTCTACCCCCATTGGGTTGATGTGTTAAGATATTTAGAAGCCTGAGAAGKAAATCAAACATGGACTGGCAATTGCTCTTTTAGGAAAATACACCATGCACTCAAAAATCTGGATGTGAATCTTTAGACCCCTTAATGCAATTTCTGGAAGACTTTTTCACATTCTTTTCCAATAACCCTCAACAAAAATAATAAAAATGAAAGAATCAACAAGCCACATTTTTTAAAGCTGTAATTCTCTCCCCCAAGAGCACAGCCAAACTCCCAGGACAGAAGGATGGGATCATTTTACACAGTATGCTAAGTTCCAAAAGACAAAAAACCCTAATTCACTTGACTCATTAAAGAGCATCTCACCCAGAAACAGTGGGAAAGCAGTGAGGAGAGGGCTGTGCGGGGACAGGGACACACCACTATTTATTTGCCACTAGGTGTCATTCCAACTCCACTTTCACTGCACAAACCCAAGCAAACAAAAGTATTCAGGGATTTGCACCCCAGCTAATACAAAGACTAGCACATTCAGGACCAGAGGAAGATTTTCAAAAAACACTCCGCAAGCCAAATTAAGAACCACCAATATAAGATTCAAAGAAGGACATAAAAAAAAAACTAAATGAAAGAGGAGAAAAAAAAAACCAAAACATTTCAGAGAGATTTTAGTTTCTAAAATCCCCAAACAAGGCACTCCTGAAAAGTGTAAACTCCTGAGACTTAAGACCAACCGAGCACGGAGYTGCTCCTGTGACATGAAGACAGATGATCAAGGTAATTCACAGTAAAGAGTTTCTTAGAGGACAGATTGAAGGCACCCAGACTATGGCTCAGAATTACAGCACTTTGCCTGTCCCCCTCTGCACCAGACCCAGCTGAAAACGTGTCCAAATTGCAAGGATAAAAGCACCTGAGGAATTGTTCCTAATCTGGATCTTCCAACGTGGCATTTGGACACCACAGTTTTCCAGACTGAGTGGAAGGAAGATCACTGAGGATTTCAGAATCACTTTGACAAAGCTCTGCTCATCTCCCTTCTGCCCAAACATATTATTACCTGCCTGCAAAGTTCCTATGAAYACTGAATTTAGAAGAAGAGGGAGTGAGCCAAATGTTAAAACTCAATGATGGAAGGAAAGCCTGCAAAGATATTCCCAAGTTTACACTGATTTTTCCACACAAACAAGAAAACATTGCATTTGTGTGTTAAAAGTTCTTTTTTTAGAAAAACCAAAACTCTTGATGGGATGACCTTGGTCCTCTTCCTGCAATTCCCAAGCAGCAGAATGCCCGAGGACCAAAGCCACCTCAGTACCACGGAGAGGCAGGTTGCAGCTATCCAGTACTGCTCATGTATGTGATGGATCCCACCTTCTGCCAATTCACCCCCAGTCACAGAGCATCACCACCACAACCTGACACTGTCAGGAACCCCCACAGARCATCCTGCTTCCCAAAACACATTCCAGCTCAAAGGAACCACAAACCATCGCTCTGAACTTTTCCTAGTGAAGAAACAGTTGTGGAAAAGCAAAAGGCAGTAAGGCAAAAGTTGTCACAAATGAGGAAAWTCTCGTTTTGCTTTGTGAAGGTGGAGAAACAAGCCTGGTTAGCCCAGAGCCTTTTATATCACTCATCCCACAAGAGAAAGATGAAGGAATAGCATGGACAGACATCTGGTCTAGTGGTTAAGGGGAAGGGTCTCAATTGTAGAGGTCTTGGCTCAGTTCATCAGTTTGACCCCCTCACACAGGCAAAACATCCATAAAATGAATAAACATGCAGGATAATCTGGGGAGGGCCATGGGAGCAGCCAGGAGGTAAAAGCAATCACAGTGCCTGGAGTGATGCTCCAAACACACCAAAGACTCTTCAAGTAATGGCTCAGAACCAGAAGGACTCCAAGGGAGCCTCCTGCCAACCACCTGACCTGCAGGGTCACCACGGTCCAGTTGATACTGGTCTAAGAGGGGCTCCTGCTTTGGAGAGYTGTTTGCAGTAACTAAAAGGGACACTGAGCTGTTCAAGAAGCAAAACGTGGCAAGCTGCCTGCTTTGTCAAAAATCACACCTAGTTTATAGCTCATGGTTACAAACTAGGGAAAACAATGTGAGGAGGTAAAAGATGGAGAAGACATTTTTGCTTGCAGTCCACGGAGTTGAGAAAAACAACAGTTTTGGGGAATTCTGCACTATCTGTTAATTCTGATGGAAGAAAGACTGTGTGTGACATGGTAGGATGGATGCTCAGAGAAAGGGCWGCCTGCAAAGGATGCAGTTTTCAAAATAACATGCAAAACCATGCAAAGGATTTCAAAAGCACCCCTGCTACACACAATGGCTGTCCTCAGGTTCCCTCTGCTGTATTCCTCACCACATGCTTGGGCACACCAGGCTGAGCTTCTTGTAGTTACAGCCCATCCCAGCTTTCAGGTGGGAAGCACATCCCCAGAAATCCCCCTTTTTTTCCCTTAGCACAGAAAACTTCTTCCACTGAAGCTGCTTTGCTGTTTGCTGACCAGGAGGGACTGTGGCCACAGTGAGAGCTCCCTGGAGATGTGACCGATCACTTCAGTCCTGCTGACACTAAAATACAGTGGCATAGGCATCAATCCTGGGAAAAGGCCAAGCTCACCAGCCCCTTGAGCCCAGAGCCAAGCAAGCCCTTCCCAATGCACAGCACAAAGCAAATCGTGTGGCTTCATGAGAAAAGTTTCAAACCCTAGCATTTTCCTTCTCTGCTGATCTTGCCACTGTTACTATGAGAAGCCAAATCGATCCTGTGCCTGTGCCATCAGCCCCACTTGGCTGCTCTAACTAGCTGGGAAGATCTGTGAGCAGGCTTGCACAAAGCTCWACTCTGCAGCCCCCACCTCCCCTGAGGGTCCTTTGTAAGCAGCCCCCATCATCACCTACCCAGCAGAGGAGACCTGAAASGCAGCTYTTACTTGGTGAACCTAAGTCACCCCTCACAGCTCTGGGGCATTTGTGCAATGTCTCCAGAGTATTGTCACTGCTGACACTCCCAGACTGGGATCYGCTTCTCAAGCCCTACCCTGATGCTATGGAGCCATTTGTGGCCATCCCAACAGCTCCCACCACCACTTCCCCACCCCAAAGCAGGGATGGCAGTTCTGGAGCAGCACAGGCAGGGGAGCCTGTCACATCTGCACACGGGGAGGAGCCTGGAACCACCAAAATTCTGGTGCAGTGACATGGTCAGTAATGCTGTGCTTACAGTGGTTATAGCCCATCCTAGTTCTGGGATGCAAAGCACATCCCTAAAAATTTTTCCCCTCCTTTTTTCTCCCCCCCTTAGCACAGTAAACTCAAGCTTCTGAATTTTTTTTTGAAGGACGCAAGGTGTGTAACAGGTCACAGACATAACAGAGCCACAAGAACTACAAACCCTGCACGGCAGGCACTGGGCTTGCTGAGAACAGGGAAAGGACAATTCCAGGGGTAAACCCTTGATGTCATCAGGAAAGTGAGCCCTTGGCGTCATCAGGAGGATGGCAGCCCTTGGGGGAAACCTCACAGCTTCCCAGCCCTCATGGAAAACTGCTGTCTGGCATCTCTTTGGCGAGGAGCTGGTGGGCAGCACACCGTGAGTCAGAGCTATCCTGCTTCCAACCGCACATGACTCACTCCAGCTTTGCTGCAAAGGCACCACTGAGTCTGACTAAACCCGCTCAGAATCTGTGTATACATAATTTTTAAATACATATACACCCCCACACATGTATGTGCACGCATGGACGTGCACGCACAGACACACCGAGTGATTTCTTCTCTTTCTGTACACAAGTGAGAGAAAGGAAACGCTCTGGAATTAATAAATARCTATGAACAACCAAGCTCCTGGGCTACAGAAAGAGCTCTTCTCCCCACGTGGCTCCTTAATTTGTGCATTCCTTGAGGCTCTGAGCTATGCTCCGAGCCCACAGGGCCTCCCCTGTTTCTGGCACGAGACCCCGTGGCACAGCTCACAGGGTGGGACAGCCAGCACAACGTTCCCTTTCCTCCACACGGGGTGGGGGACACCTCCTCGTGGATGGGGGGAACGCCTGGAGGGAGGAACTGGGCYGTTCCTCACTGAGTGTGTGCACACCTCCAGCACAGAGCAGACCTCTGGCAGGGTGCCCACTGGGTGCCAGCGTGGAGCTCAGCCCGTGTACTGCTGCTGGTAGCGCAGGTTGAGCTCCCGCAGCTCCCGCTCCCGCACGCGCCGCGATTTGTTGGATTTGGTGGAGCGGCTGGAGCGGGTGGATTGCGCTGACTTGGTGCTCTGGCAGCGGGAGGATGCCCTCTTGAGAAGGTTYTGCGAGATGGAACGGTGCAGGTTCTTCATGGAGGAGGAGGCTGCCATGCTGACCACCCACGGGTGCTTCAGGGCCTGGAGGGCCGTCATCCTGTCACTGGGGTCCACCGTGAGCAGACGGTCGATGAAATCCTTGGCCAGGTTGGACACGCTGGGCCAGGGCTGAAATACAAAAGAGGTGATTGGAATGAAACATTTTGGCACAGYTTTACTGATTAATGAATTCCTCCATGTCTGTGAGGTGCTTTGGGGCATTCTGCTGCTTCCCTTCTCTCTTTTATCCTCAAATCTTCCAAGCTATACAGTAACCAAAGTTGCCCAAGGAGAATGAGACACAACTACTTCACATCAGGGGAAGARGCTGAATTAGTGGGAAATGTCTGCAGGGATATGGGTGCAGAGCAGATCCCTCCAGCAGTTGGGATCAGGCACTCTGTAGCTGACYCTGTCTCCCAGTATTTCCAGAGGCCTGGAAAATATAAATATCCTCCCAGCACACCCAAGAATGGCCATAACAACTTAGGAGTCAAACACCTAGAGCCACAAATATTGAACTGTTTCATTTCTGGCAAAATAGTTTATTTGCACTAAGGTGGGAAGTGAGAACATTTCCTTCAGTGTGAGGTGAAGACTGGGCTGTGAACAAAGCTGGGAAGAAAAATGTGGCAAAATCCACTGTAAGGGTAGAGAGGAGGAGGCAGCATAGCGAGCAGAAAACCCCAAGTGGTGAATGGAGCTGGGCAAGAGCAGGTTTCTGCAATCACTTGGTATTTTGTGGGGTCTCACCCCTCATGAAACCACCAATTCTGAATTTTTCTGGTCTGTGGAGCTCACATGCCAAGCTACATTAAGAAAAAACCTGAGCAGATTCCTGCAATGAATATTTCGATACAATAAYGGTGACATATGCGTAACCCACCATGTGCAGTTAAAAAAGCAAAAGTCTGCTATTCTGTGTCTCATTCTTCTCTTCATTGGGTGAGGAAGAAAAGCATTAAAGTAGACTATTTTAAAAATCAGGGTTCACCAACTGTACAGCCAGAAATAATGYACTTTTCTTGTGCAAAAGGTCTAAAAAAGGTATGTCCTGATTTTTTTGAGGTTTGTAATTCACTGGTACCGAAAGCCATTTTCTTTTCAAAAGGTTCAAAGATACCAGTAAGAGAGCATGTCCCCACGAGGATTTTTTAATGAAAAGGAGAATGGTGTAAGAGTTACAGCACYGCTCCCAGCCCATGGCCTGTCAGTGAAAGGTGAACTTGAGCTTTAGCTGAGGAACTGGCTGTGAGGGGGATCAGGGTACCACAGTCTTATTTTACAATGACTAAAACAGTCTGGCTTACTCAGCTCAAGTGGGATACAYGATCACTGCCAGTAACTGTGCAAGRGAAGAGACTGAAAATGATATGAATTACTTGGTATAAAGAAAATACTGCTACATGAATAAAAAACCTATAAATGTTCCTGAACATATTCAGAATAGAAATGGAAATACTCAGTGCTCAGGGAGGAAGCACAGCCTTCTCCTGYGGATCAGACACCACTGCAGTGCTTGAAACCAAGACAAAATCTGCTCCACTCCACATTTCAAGAACTAAATCTGCTAATAAAAAAAATTCTTAACATTCAAGGCTTTTTATCATAGAATCATTAAGGCTGGAAAACACCTCAAAGGTCATCAAGTCCAGCCATTAACCTGTCACCACCATGTTCATCACTAAACCATGTCCCCAAGTGTCACATCCACAGGCCTTTTGAACACTTTCATGAATGGTAATTCCACCACTGCCCCAGGCAGCCTGTTCCAATGCCTGACCCTGCCTTTAGTGAAGAACTTTTTCCTGTTATCCAATCTAAACCTCCCCTGGCACAACTTCAGGCCTTTTCATCTTGCCCTGTCTACTGCTTTCAATTAATTAATGTAATATAATGTAATATAATGTAATATAATGTAATATAATGTAATATAATGTAATATAATGTAACATGATATGATATGATATAATAATACAATTAGTTTGTCACAACCTGCCTTAAATGACTTTTTCTTAACTGATGAAACACACCTTGGCAATGAATAGTAAGAAAAAAAAGTGCTTTTTAGAACTGAACAGAGACGATTTTTGATCAGAGACTCAAGAAAGTGTTTGCTTATAAAGGAGGTAAATAAATTAGCAAAAATCCCTTTCAAAATTTATCAAATAAAAACTACAAAAAAGGTTCAATTGTAACTGAAGACACCAAGMTGTTTTGCAGAATGATGGACTATTGAGGAGCTCAGCCTTCATGGTATTCTCAACAATAGAATCAAAAAGTTGTATCTGCCCTACCATGGGGGAAYATAAATCACAAGCCTACAGATTTCCTAGCAGACTTTGGATAAGGTATTTCATTTGTTAAGTAACAGCAACGGGAATCAACTAGCAGGATTTAATCTTCATTGGTATAATCTCAGCTAATCCCAGGTGGTACCATATGTCAACTGGCAGCACATCACCTTCCCTTCAYACTGGGCATCTCCAGCTACAGACCTCTGGGTTCTCTCTTCCACTGATGGACAGATACAAACGAAATCTGGGAAATAAGAAGTTTTGCCTCCACTTTTCTAAGCTTGCCTTGAGAAGTTTTGAAAGTTTTCTGTAGCTTTTTTTTTATGACTCACTTTCAGCTATTCATTCAGTAAAAATCTCAAACTCATCATTACCTGGCTAATTTCCACCAATCCAAATTCTTACTTTCCTTCTCCTCTCAGCAGCCAGAACTCCTCCTGTTCTGTTTCCTTCACAGAGGACTCATTTTCCACTTCCAAACAATCCCAATGGGACATCCAAGATATTGATGCATCTATTAAATTTAYCAACCTTAACTCCAAGTGACAGCAAATGCAGGTGACAATTTGCTCTGTGCAGGAACTTTTCAAGAACTGGTCAACTACTACCATCTTCATTTCTGTTACTAGCAAYTGAAATGACTTAAGATACCCTGAAAGAGCTTTAGTTCCCCTCAGATGGAGAAAACACATTCACACAACTCTAACTTCATTGTTTTTCCTGGGTATTTCTTCCCCTTTTACCTTTCTGAATGGGGTCTCTCACAGAAATAGAATCACAGCCGCCATCCTCTCATTTTCACCTAAGTCCAATGACATGCAAGAAATGCTCAAAGGAAAAGTACTTGAGAACTGACACAACAGTACTTGGAATACACCTTCAGGACATGCAGGAGAGCATTATTTCCTCTTGCAGGTGTAAGTAACTACACAAACCTGGAATTTGAGGCAACACAAGAGCTATTTTGCTGTCCAGATGCACTCAAATTTCAGTCAAATGAGATTCTGGTGAGTGAAATGAAACTCTGAACGCTAAGAACAATAGTGCTTCAATCTTTTCAAGTCTTATTAAAAGATGGCAAATGTGATGATTTGGAATTTAAAGAAATCTCTGATATCTGAGGAGCCAGGAACTGTGATACAAACCCAGCCTAAACCTTGAGAGGCCCATCCAGTTTAATGAATCCTAAAGGAGAACAAACTCCTAACAAGAGCACATTGGATTTCTCATTATTCCAATTACTCYAGTTTCACCACAAATGTTGAATATGGAGTACCTGCAATTAGATTTTTCTTCTGGTCAGCAAACACAAATCAGTTTATTGATCTGTTTACACAGCTGGAGGTTTGATTTGCTGCACCACATGCATCTTTTTTATTCCACTGAAGCTTTTTCTTTAGTAATACGTAAGGCTACATTCTACTGATGCCATTTGCAAACCCAGTCCCTGGAGAAATGCATCCACTCTCCAGAAAAACTTGCACCAGTTGACAAAACAGCAGTTTTAACTTAGCAAAATCCCATTAACCTTCCCAATTAATACAGCAGCAGAGAGTTGTGTAGGAGCTGAGGAAGGTTGACACTGGTGTGTTTGGGGAAGACATGAGTGCAGGACATGAGGTGTGTTCACATAACAGGATTGAAGCAATCCAGAGGAAATTCTGCCCCTCTGCTTCCCTGAGGAGAGATWGAGAATGGCTTGGAAGGAAAATGCTCCCATCAAGTGACCATGAAACATTGAATCAGCTAAACCCTATCAGACAGCCTTGCCTTTAATCTCAGTGCTGCAATGACAAACCCTGCTYTTTTGTGGCATAACAATACCACAAAAATGAAGTCACCAATACTTGTTCACCTTCTTAGAGGGACCTTCTGCTCCTCCAAAAAATCATTTCAAACATGATGCAGTTTGAGCACAACTTCTGTGCTGCTCCCTTTGTTAGACTGTGTTCCTTCAGAAGGASTAAGTTCTGCTTCTCTTTCTGCAGAGAAACACACAATGGCTTGGATTGAAAGGGACCCTAAAGATCATCTAGTGCCAAATGGACAGGGACACCTTCCACTAGACCAGGTTGTTCCAAGCTCTGTCCAACCTGCCCTGAACTTCCAGGGATAGGGCAGCCACAGCTTCTCTGGGCAACCTCTGCTGAGGCCTCACCACCTGCACATACTGTTAAAAAAAAGGTGGAATAGCCATATTTTGAGCTGAACCTGAGCAGTACCAGCTCAATGACAACAGAGACCTCACCAACAGGTGAYCAGCTTTTCTAACTGCAATCATCTYCTCTRTCTGGRATACCTGGTGTAGTGTCCACTTCAAAAACCTCTTTTCTCATGAACAATCCCTGGATACAGACTCATTTAACACTGGAGACTATTGGCTTCATACTGGAAGGAGGACTAAACATCCTCTGGAAAGTAATGTCTGCAACTCTAGAACTTAGCACAGYGACTAAAAACACGATTCAGCAGAATTTAAAAGAAAAATAAAACACGGGGAGCAGAAGAGCTGCGTAAAGCTCCTGCAGAAGGAGCTTCTGGCTAGTTGTGTCCAAATAAAAGAAGGAACAATCATCTGACTTCCAAGCTCTGCTTTTACTCCTGACAGTACCCACTCAAGGGTACATACTGATTTCCCAATTCCTACCCAAATAAAATGTCATTTTCAGAAGAAGAACGACAATGTTGATGAGAAAGGTGAGGGAAAGGCCTGGATCTCCCTTGCCAGACAGTCTTTACAAAAAAATGAAGCACAAAACATGTTATCACAGCTGCAAAGGATCRCTCTTGGGCCAAAAATACTGTATCSCAGTCCCACTGACTCCTAAGATG